GCCACAGCTGTCGGTGATGGTACCATTACCAGCGTGTTTGGTTCAACGCAGTGTGTTACCCGTGAAGGCGGCGCTTGCTACCCGGGGCTTTTACTGGCGGTGCCGACGCTCCTCGACCCGGCCGCGGAAGTCTGTCGTTGCATGTGGACTTACGCCAAGTAGCTCGCGTGGTTAAAGGAAAACGGTTAAATGAACTCGCTGGCTGGTGACGTCTGCCTGAGTAGAGTCGCAGTCGTGACAGGAGCCGTTGTGGTCCACACTCATGGTTTGCAACGCTGTCTGTTTGACGAATTGGATGTAGTTCTGAACATGCCGAACCGCTCACCTCAAAACCATACAGAGGTCCGCCGGTTTGCCGCGTGTACTTCATCAGGCTCAAAGAATGACATTTTAATCGGCTGCGAGCTGTTAACACGTCTTTACGTTGTTCACTGAATGAGATGCGATCGCACTCATGCCTACGTCAAGTGTAGATGTTCAAAAGCCGACCAATCGTTGAGCTCGGTGGGCATGCGTCACAGTCCCACAGCGTACATTTTATAAGTCTGCAGACTGTAGCGAGTAGACCGTGTCGTCAGGGCTTCCCCAAAATGCAGCAGCATAGACACACAACGCTGTATAGGGCAAGAGGGGCGGGGAGGGGGGCGTCGCGCGGATGGTGGCCATTCGTGTAACGCCTGCACACTTCGCAGTCAGCTGATCGATGTATGGCTGACAGCACAGGCTTCTGTCATGACAACACTTAACTGTTTACCGTTGCTGCTTTAGTCACTGTTGGCGCCCTCTTCTTGAGGCCATCTGTGTGCAGTTGGTTTGATGCTGCAAGAGTAACAGTGTTGACGTGCAGTTTAGGCCGATCCAACTCCAAGCGGTTAAATCATTAATCACATGGGATGGTAATTACCCGATTCACAACATCAAAACGCATCATCGCGCTTCAGGTAATTGGCTCATGTGAATTTGATGCTGAGTGCAGACGCTCGTTGTGATAGCGGCAGGTGTTTCGGACAGAAAAAGTCAAGTGAGACGCCAGGTGCTTCATTCAGACCCGTCTGATCCGACATGCTGGAGAGTGGTACTGAGTACATGCAATGCAATCCAGGTCAGGCAGGTGTTTTTGTATCTATCCAAAAGCCTTTCATGCTGTGAACAAAACTTTACCATTACGCGGGCGGTGCCTCCTTTGCCCCATCACGCTCGTGTACCCTCCCGTGCTGGCCGTGGCTTTGTGACCTGATGTTCGGGCTATACGCACTCCTTGCACCTGTAAGGCCCTGTTAGCAAAGAACGGGTCAGAGATTTGAGCAAGACCAATCAACTGACAACTAATGCATGACTGAATGAGTAAGGTAATGAGTGGGTAGTAATGAGTGTAATGAGGATAGTAACATGACTAATGAGTAGTAATGAGTAGTAATGCAAACGGCGCTTAGTTGAAGACTTTCGCAGTACCTTCAAGACATCAGACCAAAACCAAATGAATCGGGGAAGCTGGCTGTTAGCGATGCCTGGCTGATGATGAGCAAACAAAACTACTCCGCGAATAGGCCGCTCATTCCAGCCACAGCTGGCTCGGCGCGTCATAGCTCACCAACTGACATCATACCACGGCAGTCAGCTGCAGTGGGCGGGCGTGGCGTGCGAGGCCCGCTCCGACCTGCAGCGAGCGATCCCCGTCCGCCTGGCAGGCGTACCGCCTGTCAGCCGGCCTGGCGTACGCGGCGCCGTCCGACGCGTGCGGCAGCCGCTGGCAGTCAGCTGCGTGCTGGGCGCCCCACTTAGAAAGGGTCGCGTGTAACTTCCGCAGTAATGCACATCGTGCCCGGAAGATGTAGACACCGTCGGGGGGGGGGGGGGGTTGCCGGACGGTGCGCCACGCTGTGAATCTGTTGCGGCTGCTGCCGGCGCGGGTGGCCCACATCCACAAGTGAATGCCAAATAAATATTTGCCTTTTTATGCCCAAATGAATATTTGCTAAATAAATATTTGCTCGGCAACTCATATTACCGATTGCCTGTCTTAAGGACAGGCAATCGATAATATGAGGGGCCGAGCAACTTAACATGAAAGACGGCATTTTTTCAAGACAAAAAATACTTGTTGCTCTTGATTTTTGAAACTGTTGGCTAAATGAAAACTTCACAAATGACCGATTGACGAAAGTGACACTTAAATATGTCATGGAACAGGGCTCATCTGTGTAAATGACATGCTGATGTTTTCTTTAGAGAAAACCCACTTGCGTTTTCCTCGCTTGTTGCATGAACACATGAACACAAACACTGTACACTATACACATCAAAGGTTTTATATTTTCATCACGCTTGCGAGGTAGACCTGAGCACGCGTTTGCTGTCAGGATGACCGCCGTAGCACGCATGCATACAGCGGGCCTACTCTGATTTTTTTAGTCTGAAAATCAAAACACTGCCCCGGCGACTCATAGCGAGACTGCGCCCTCGGTTAGGGCACCGGACCCAACTGGCTCGAGTTCAAGGCATGCTATGCTTGTGAACCACCGTCGAGGACAGTGGTTGGCACTGCGTTAAACCTGCGGCGGAGCAATCATTCATCAGTTGCTGACATGTTCATGGGTAGAGGCCGGTCGAGAAGAGCCTGCCGAAGTCACTTAACCTATGACCTCTCACGTTTATTGGTGCACGCATTAACAAACTTTGCCACCGTGGCGGTACACCAGTATTCTGAGGTTAAGCTTAAGTTATGAACTATTGCCGAAGGGGTGCCGGTGGTGCGGTGGCTCAGCTAGAAAACTACAGGCACGTCCGGGAAACCAGAGGTACCCGGGTTTGATTCTCCACGGTGCCCACCATGCCTGCCAAGGTGAGAGGCATGCGGCACCACATTGCTTCAGCTGCTAAGTGCGTCGTAAAACCCCAGCGAGAACGGTGATTGCCGGAAGGCATGATCTAATCGGTTTAGAAGCAGCACTCCTACAAAGGATATCCTCGATGCCTTGAAGGGAATGAATTCGCTAAATGTGAGACTTGATCTGAATGGCGGCGGCCATTTTGCGAGCTGCTTAACACGCGCCCAGGTGGCCGGCTAGATACCCTTCGCTCGGATGGGGATGGGGGTGGGTCAATCTGACCGCCGTAAGATCTCGGGAACTAAGAAATTTAAAGACACCAAATTCACAGGGTGTGTTGACCTGCACGTGAACTCACTTAGGTCAAAGTTTGAGGTTCCTAGGTCATAGTCTTCTGGTCAAATAAGGTTAAACAAGGTCAAAGTCACGGTTCATCTCCAGTGCCCCCAGAACCTCGATAACTGCTGCTAAGCAAAAGGTCACATGCTCATCTAATGTCAGTGACATTATTTGACCTTTTGAAGGTCATGGTGACCAAAATGATGCAAGACTGCTCTGAGTTTTGCATCTGAATAAGCGAAATATGTTACGCTAGACAACATGTCTCTAAAAACAGAATGTTGACCTGGGTCATTTTAGGTCAATGACCTATTCTCACCTCTAAGAAGTCCGTGGAAGATGGATGATCCAGTTCCTGCAATCAATAATTTCGAAATGAGCACCAAAAACTATCTCATACAGCAAACCCTGGCGTAAAAAACATGCTGGCTCTGACCTTAGTCTGACCCTTATACCTGACCTTAGGTCAACGTAATTTACTCATTCAATATTTGTGTTGCCTACGAAAGCATCTCAGAGATGAATGGCTTCATATAACTCCGTTGTTGCATCGGATTGAACGATTACATAGAAACTGACTTCGCTGAAACCACGGCCTTACTTTGACCTGCCATAGGGCAGCGAACTTAGAAGGTACATCTAAATTTGTTATACCAAATGATCTGCTATTCAATTGTCTACAGCTGTGGAAAGTTTGGCGCGTCTATGACGCGCCGTTCGGAAACCATTCTGGAAAAAACCTTCGGGGGAGGGACAATTTGACCCCCCACCCGAGCGCGGGCTAAGGAATCGCTTAAGTACATGGAATTGCGATGCTTTTGAGAAAATCGCTCAGATAGGCTTTAATAACTGAGTTGCATGGAAACGAGTATTTCCGACTTTGGAAAAATTGCAGATTTTTGACCAGCCAACATGTTTGTGCAGCTGTAAGTGCTCTATAAGACCAAATCAACTATGATCCATCTAATGGTGAGAGTTTGGCGACGATCGGAGCAGTAGGTGCTGAAATCTAACTTGTACGTTTTTAAGCATGGAATTATCTTTTTGCGTTTCTGTGGTGTTTGACCTGACGTACTCACGTAATTAATACCACAGATAGTAATATCCTGCTCAGTTTGGCAACCAGCCTTCCATACCTCGCAAAAGACATTGGGTCATATCCAATGGGAAGCATGTTTTTGACTTGTTGGGGGATGGGCTTAGCACGTTTTCGCCTGTACAGACCCGTCCAGCTTCATTTACATAACTTTACCTTACCGATATTGCCAAGCTCCCGCTCCATTTGTCTTGAATAACCGTTTGATGCACGTTTAAACGCGATTTCACGACTACGTTTTGAGAACAAGGATGTGTGCTAGGTATGCAGGATTTTACCTTTCCGCTGTTTTCTTTTTAAATTGGCAGTGTTTTATTGAATAGAGCTGTGGCAAAAGACATGGAAGACAAGTGACGATATTTGGGCTGCTCTAGATATGTTCGATCGCAAAACGCTGTAAATCAAACATTTACTGCTTTTCCGCTGAACAGTTAAGCTGGAAGCTCGTTCTTCTACGTTGCATGCCCTTGACGCACAGCCGAAATTGTGAGAAGGAAGTTGAGGATGCATTTCGTTTTAACCACACGGTTCTAACTTTAAGTTTCAGAACTTGGGGATGCAACTAAATTTCTCCAAAATTTGGCTTGTCGATTTTTGATCAGTCACGTTAAACTGGCTTGAGAACTCATAGGGGCAATCCTCACATCCCAAGCTGACGTCATTTACTGTTGCCTGTTTTAGGAGATCAGTTACCCTGCCACGTCCACCATTTTGTTTTAGTCAAACGTAAACAAGTTCCTCGGCGAAGTGAGCAATGGGGAGGGTGTGTTCAAAATGCGATTAGGGTACTGCGAGTGAGCGTATACGATATTTCGTAACGCAGTCATCCACATAAGTCCGGTTGTTGCAAATTGCTGACACGTTGACGTGATGCGGTGGCAGAGAAGAGGAGGCGGCCTCTGGTGACTTTTAATACAGTAAGAACAATTTAGTTAGTCATGTGGCGCATGTTATATTGGTGCTTACCTCCATGTATGCTAGAGCAGTTATCAATTTATATCGTTTTGTAGACGGCCGCAGCCGGAAATTTTTATGAGGGAAGAGCAGAACTCAGCGGTCATTTGAAGACAACCAAATGACATGGAGGCGTGTATGGTGGCCAAGTAAAATAAATGAATGGTGCGGGCCGGAGGGGAGTGGTGCCCTGGCGTCCCATTTAGCTATGGCTGACTACTAGACTGCAGACTATGCATGTTGCACCAAGTATGTCTGGCATAGTGGCAAAAAGTGTCTACAATCTCAGTGAACGTACACTATTTCCAAATGCTTGGAGTTTGGTGCACTTTCACTGCTGATGTCAGTGCAGACAGCCAATATCACAGTGGATTAGGAAGCTGCAAAGGTAATTTCATCTCAAAAAGTTTGGAAAGTATTGCTAAAAAATTTGTAATTTGGTGCAATCTGGCCTGGCCTGAATTTAGCACTCAAGGAGGGGTTGATGTTGATGATGTTGATGACGATGATGTTGATGTTGTTGCACTCATGTTGCAATGTCCTCTGCAAAGTACAATTTTTATTTGTAGGTCTGCACAGTGGATTGATTTGTTTGTAAACTGGCCCAGTATATATGTCTTCATTCTTAGGTAATTGGTTATCTATAATTCAGGAACTTATTTGCTTCACTCCAGTTTTTTCACTCCAGTTTTTTCAGGAACTTATTTGCTTCACTTCATAGTTTATCTAGTTCTGACAGTTTCCAGCTATCTTAGGAATTTGCAACTTTAAGTTTCAGTGCACAAATAATGATTAAGTATGTTTTGTGTGCTTAACTGAACAATGAAGCATGTTTTGTGCATATCATGCCCTGTTGTTGACTCAGCTGGTTTTGCTAGAATGTTTTGTGATGAATTTGTAAAAACAGTATCAGTAGGTAGAGCTAGAGTCCTACCATGCATAGTGATATCTGTTTGAAGGGTCATGTCATAATGTGATAAGTAATGCAAACTTGCATAAAATATATTAATAGCATGTCAAAAGGATAAGTGCTGTATGGCATGTCAGATAGCTGGAATCTCCACATTTAATGCATATGGTATCATGGAGCTGGAGGTTGGAATTGGAAATTGAATAAATAATCATATGACACTGGCAGCTTGACAATCTTATCAGGTTCTAATGTGATGTGAAAAATTATGTAGGTTTGCAGTGTGCCATTGCCCTTGATAGGAATGGTGTGTAGCTGGTATCAGTTTTCAGGCTAAAATCTTGGGGAATTTTAAGGGGTAGGCAATATAGGCCTATTTGCTGATAACAAGACAGCATAAAAAATTAGAAATATGAAAAAGCACTCATTACCTACTTGGGGATAGGTAACTGGTTTTGATTGCAAGCAGTGACCAAGTCAAGAGCAGGACATAACCATGTGTAAGATTTAATTATTTTGGACAAGTAGGATATGTCCCATGGTCAGAAGCAATCAAAGTCCTGTAAGAATGATACATCAGATGCAAAAAAGGTGTCAGAATGTGGTAGGAAGCAACAAAAGAAAAAAGATGAATGTGTGGTTCAAAAATCTGTTTTTAGACTTGTGGTGCTGCCATAGAGCCCCTCCCCCTTAGACATTCTGCTTGTGTGTGATGCATAGTTATCAATTTGGTGATTGGCAAAATGCACGCCAAAAAGAACAGCACTAGGCCCTGCTAATTGAAATCATACCCCACCTCATGGTTTATAAATTATTGTGATGTGATAAACACTAATTGTCCTCTACAAAATACTACAAAGTTCTGACACAATGTAAGAGAAGTTAGTAGTATGGACACAGTACATACATCAGAATTGCTATCCATCAAGTGCAGTGTGACATAATGTGTGGTGTCTAACGGTTTATTTTCTGCTGGCAGCATTTTCACTGCTTTTTGTTTTCAAAGCTGTCCATTGCAAAGCAACCAAATCCTGCAAATACATGCTCTATGTGAAAACAGCCTGCTCCAAATACCCAACAGTCACTTTTCAACAGCAGTAATATAATTGCCCTGACATGATCTGCGCCACACTGGTCAGCACCGTCATGGAAGGCTGGCACAGCAGCATGTGGCATGACTGAGATTGATAACTGTTACAGAGTGGATCATTTTATGAGGCGTGCCAGCACCTTTCAAAAATCGGTCTGGTTTGGAATTAAGTCTACTGAAAGAGATGAGCCTGGAGGGAATGCTTTGAGCTATGTAAAGATTGCCAGGTGCCCGGTTATTTGCCGTGGACTGGTAGACACTCGTGAACCCTTCTTTCGACTTCTCAGCTTACCGTCGCCTGAATATGCCACCGCCAACCACACTGTGGGTGTTTTCCGGCCGTTGTTGGTAGTATGTCATTGCCGCGTTCGCGCGGTGTCGTGTGCCAGATTTCCTAAGTGCAATTGTTGCAGCTCGATCGTCGCGAGAAAATTCACAGACGTCAAAATTGTGTGAGAGTTGCCTCGAAACTTGTTATGCTTTTTGTTCCGTACCATCATTGTATAATACGTAACTATTTATCGGTCCATTTGATCCACTTACGTGTGCCCCCTGCCCCGGATTGTTTCCTGGCTTCTTTCAAACATTTGGGAACCATCGTATGGGGTCTAGGGTGGTGTGAAGTTTCTGATGCAAAAGTAAGAGTTGATTATGGCTTCAGCTGCTCTATATCATGCTAGATATTTGTTTGTTGCTTTAACTCCATTTTCGCCCGTCTTTTAAGCGTGCTTGCGATGAACAGTCACTGTGACCAGCTAGTATTCAGTTATGATGCTCCACGGTTTGCATGTCTGTAACCGATATATTTGAGACACCTCTCGCCACTGTCCCGCGGATGTGCACATCCAGATTCTGCGAATGGGCGCTTAACTAGCTTCATGAAAACGGGCGGCCTCTGAATTCCATGAACGGCTGCATTTATGTCAGGAGTGTGCTTTCGTCGTGACTTAAGCAGAGCCTGCTATTGCCTATGCTTGCGACATCCGCTTATTAGAGTCATATGTCGCACACTAACAATAAGGTCGCCTCTGTCGAGAACGGCTGCACGGCTCATACTGCAATGTGTGCTTTATCTTTCTTGGCCATAACATCGGTAATCACTTTGGGGAACTGATCTTAAATTAGTATTTGCCCCGGGTTTTGACATGCAAGTCTCATACAGAGCCTATGCCGCCCATTACTACCTGGGTGAGAACTCGTTGCCTCGGCCGTGGGCTCCTCCGCCGTGTGACGGCACGTGCGGGCCGTGTCGGCAGGGGTCGAGATGCCGTTCCAGAAGCGGCTGGTGGAGCCGTCGGCCGTGTGCCGCGGCACGCTGCCGGCCGACACCACGCTGCCCAGCGAGCTGGAGGCCGTCACCAACGGCACGCTCTCCAACGTGGTGCGCCAGCTGTCGTCGCTGTCGCGCCACGCCGAGGACATGTTCGGCGAGCTGTTCCGCGAGGCCGAGCGCATCGTGCACCGCTCCAACGGCCTGCAGCTGCGCATCGACAGCCTGGCCGACAAGGTCACGCGGCTGGACAGCACCGTCGAAGAAGGTGAGGCGCGCCGCCGCAGGGGCGCCGCCGGCCGGGAGCGGCACGCGCCAGCCGGCTGCCGCCGTCCGCCGCCGGTCGCGCGCAGTCAGCACAGAGACTGGTCGGACGTGACAGATTCCGGTGTAACGACCTCAGGGTCGCATGTTTTGATCCAGCTTGTGGGTAGGACAGCGTCTAAACTCTATGGAGTGGGTGCAAAATGGCTCCGACGTCGGCCTGCTCTAAAACCCGATCATCATCATCAAACCCGCCGTAAATGAGATGGCCTTCCTGCGGGTCAGTCTGCTTCGCATCACACACGGCTTGAAATCTCGTCGAAGCGCTTGTTCGCCTTGGGACACATACGACATTTATCCATTGGCGTTGGGATGTGTATGGTGGGTCGGTTGGTGGTTTGTCGGTCTGTTGGTTGGTTGGTTGGTTGATTGATTGGGTGGGTGGGTGAGTGGGCGGGTGGTTGGGTTGGGTTGGGTTGGGTTGGGTTGGGTTGGGTTTTGGTTGTTACCAGCACCTGCTGCCGTGTCGTGCCTGCGCCGTCGTTTGGACGCGCTGACTCTTCCCCCTCCCCCCTCCCGTCCACGCAGTGTCGCTGCAAGACATCCACATGCGCAAGGCGTTCCGCTCGCGCGTGGTGTACGACCAGGAGGTGTTCAGCCGTGAGAGCATGCCAGCCGCCATGCGCGAGACGTACCTCAGCTGCGACGCGCCGCCGCCGCTCGACAAACTCAACGTGTTCAGGTGCGCGCCCTGGCTGGGGCGCCGGTGGGGGGCCGGCCCGGGTCAGGCGTCGTTGCGGGTCAACGTCGGGAGCGGTGTGGCTGATAGTGGCCTCTCTGGTGCTGGTGTAAACACATCTGTGTGCGGATGTATTCGGTGCGTAAAACGGTTAGATTCTGGTTGTTTTTTTTTTGCATGGTCGCAGTTTGTAATTTCTCCTTATTGTCCCATGACAAGTGAGACGTTTTGTGCCATCAGTGTCTCTGGCTTGTTTTGAGGATGCTGTGAATGCCCGTTTCCGCTTGAATAGCATTTTCATTTGCGTATGTAAAGGACGTTGGGGGTGAAACAATTATTGACATTCCACACACGCCACTGCGGAATCTCGCAGGGTGTCATATCAGTATGAATATGAATGAGCGTATGAATACTCATATGAATGTGTGATGTGTGCTACAGCGTGAACTGTGATGCGAAGCTGGGCTTCGCTTCGCTGACAGTACTGTCTGTTCAGAGCATTTGTGTCTGGCAATTCTGGTCCAGTCTGATTGGAAATCATCTCGACTGAGACGTCTGCGCGGTGTGGGCCGGCCGCCTGTCACCTCAGGGTACCTGTACGTCCGTGTCTGACTCAGCGTCCGCCTTGCGTCCCCGTATCTGGTGTCGTCTCTGCGCCTGACTTGTGTCTCCATGTTTGCGTCTCGCTGCGCTTGTGACGCGTGCCGTCGCGTCTGACCAGCGTCTTCTTGCCCGATCCGTTTCCAAGTCGATCTGTCCGCACGTGTTGCGTTCTCACGCTGCTGCCACACGTGTGACCCGTGTCGCCGTGTCGTGCGCGTCGCTGTGGCGGATGTGCGCAGACCGTGGTTGGTGCGTACCGTCGTGTCGGATCCGCATCTGGTGAGTCGGCGGGGGCCCGTGCCGGCGGTACCGATGGCGCGGACCGAGAGGCGGCCGCCCGCGCCTCGCTGACGCCGCCGCTCGCCGCTGCACCACAGAGAGGACGGCAAGGACGGCATGCAGTTCTACACGGACCCCAACTACTTCTTCGAACTGTGGCGGCAGGAGATGCTCAAGGAGAACGACCGGCTTATGCACGAGAAGGGCAAAAAGGTGAGCGGCCCAGACGACTACGTGGGAATCCCGCCGTGTTCGAGTTATGGGATCTCTGCAAGCAGACACTTAATGCAACGACAACCGTTTTAATGCATTATGCAGTGATCAAGAGTGCATCTGGAATTAGATTATGCGGATTGTTAATTATATTTCTAGCTTCTTCAGGCTAGTTCAAGTGTCAAGGGATGTTTGAAGGACTTATGGGCTAATGATTGGCCTACTGGAGCATCTCAGACGTGATTTCCCAACGAGCAAGAGTAGATCTTCGAGATCCCATCACTTTTTGTCTCTTTTTGTTGTCTGATTCACTTTTTCCTGGCTCCGTTCGCGGAAGGGCGTGCTTGACATTACTGCACATTGACCATGCCGGAAGTATCGCCTGGCTCAGTTCAGAGAACCGCTCACTGGGTGGGAACATCTGTCAGAACCGCTGCGTCATTCGGTCACATCGTCACAGAACCGCTGCGCTGAACGGTCTAACTGCACACTGGAAATGGCCGTCTGCAGAGTGGTCTGCGTTTCGTGAAATAAGCACCCACGCATGCTTGGCTTTTGTGAGAAAGCAGACAGCTGTTCGTGCCCCCGCTGGTCTGTGCGCTGTGTTCTTACCAGACCCATCAGACACGTCCACATGTGTAACGAAACGTGTCTGTGCCGTTTAACGCAGCACGCGCCGCCGGGGGATCCAGCGAGCGAGGCAAGTTGGCTCTCTGGCTATGTGTGCGGGGCGGCCGAGGTGTCTCCCTCCTTTGCGGTTAGGTGTTACGACGTGGTATGAAGGCAGCGCCAATAACACTCGGCTAGCGGTTTGGTGTGTTTGGGTTGCACATGCTAATCGTTAACAGTTGACCCGTGTGAAGTTTTGCATCCCGTCCCGAGTAAAGCGTGGATTTTTTCCTTCTCAGTCTCCCCTGGCCCTTGTGTGCCGTGTGTAGTTAGTCCGTGTGGAAGCGGCTGTTTTTATGTACGACACGAGGCTGCAGAGGGGCCACGCGGACAGCGTCGAGCGTCGCTTCGTAACAGCCGTGTTTATTTTTATTGGGTCCGTTGTCAGCCTTTGAGTGAGGCGAGGTCCTTGAGTCCAAAAGCTTGCCTTCCGACGGCTGGTCCAGAGGTGCTGCGATTAACCCCCTCTTCCCGAAGGTGCCACGGGCCCAGTGATTGGTGGTGGTTTATGGTGTGACACGACTATGTGTGCTCGTTCACGGACCTCCGCACGGCGTCCGGTTTTGTTTTGCCGCGGCAGTCGGGTGCCTCGGGCATTCAGTGTCAGGGGCCGCAGTTGACGTGTTGGGGCATGGGCTTATGGTGCACAGCATACTGAACATAGCGCAGCGCGGGGAACAGAGCGTGGGCTGGACGCACTCCTGATGTGTGCAAAGTAGCATGGAGGAAGCTGTCTGCAGAGGAGTTACCATTCATTTCTGTAATGCTGACAAAGACATCAGAAGGTAGCTCAAATGAGGAGTGTTTGTAACGCCTGCCGCTGACTGTGCAGCCGTGTCATGCTTCCGTCATTACGCAGCTGTATGGCATGGCGCCATAGCAGCGCCGTTCATTTGTGAGGGACTTAACTTGCCAGGTGATTCCCACCTGGCTTTTTCGTGGCACTCGATACCCGCGCCGCACGTTGGTGGCCGAGCACCTGGCGGCGTCCGGCTGAGCCCCGGCTCGACGTCGTGCGTGCCGGGCGCGCGTTGACATCATCATCATCGCTGCAGCCGCACCGACCGCGCCAGGACGGCAGCGGCGGCGGCGGCGCTGGCCGCCACAAGAAGCGCGTCCGCCAGGCGCAGAATACCCGGCAGAAGCACGTGCAGATGGCGCTGGAGCAGGGCGAGTACATCACCAACTCGCCGGGCAAACACAACGGACAGCAGCAGGTCAGTCGGCGGCGGTGTGGCCGGCCCGTCGGCAGTCTCTGCACCGATGACACCGGGCTCTTGTGCTGCCTCCTCTGTCTGCCTCCTATAAACGGAGCCATTGCGTTGGTTGTAGTGTCGGACACCGGCAAGTGGGGTCGATGTCTGTTGTGCGGAAGCATGGTTTGACCTGCTCTGCGGCGCCGGTCACGCTCTTGGTGTGACGGCTGTGCGGTGCATTGCAGACGCAGTACGGCGACGGCGGCGGCTCGCCACTGGGCGCGCCGCAGCCGCGGCCGGCCAGCATCGAGGTGCGCCGGCCGTCGGTGCCGCTGAGCCCGGCCAGCCCGGACCCGTACGGTGGAGGCGGCGGTGGCGGCGGCCCGGCCGAACCCGGCAGCCTCGGCTCGCCGGCCGGCCGCGCCCTCAGCCGGATCGTCTCCAGCCGGCCGTCGCAGCCGCCGCCGGCGCCGCCCAGCCACGAGGGCACGCCTACGCGCGGACGCCTGTACAGTGGGAGGGAGGCGCTGCCGCCCCCACCGCCGCCGCCGCCGCCGCCCCCCGCCGCCGCCGCCCGCCGCCGGCCCGCCACCGCCGCAAGAGAACGGGCTGGCGGCGTACCCGTCGCCGGGCGGGCTGCAGCACCAACTGACGCCCGAAGCGCCGCGCCACACGCGCGACCTGTCTGCCGACGACCTGCCGCCGCCACCGCCCATCCCCGACGAGCTGCCGCCGCCGCCGCCGCCGCTGCCGCTGCTGCCGCAGGCGCCGCCGCCGCCGCCGCCACCGCCGCCACCTCCGCCGCCGCCGCCCATGCCCGACGGCTTGACCAACGGCTTGCGCTCTCCACCGGCCCCGAACGGCGAGCTGGCAGGACAGACTATGAACACGGTACGTTGCACCGCCGTGATGGGGCGGCCTGGGTGTGGTCGCAGCTCTGTGCCGATGGATGCGGAGGAGGTTTCTTGGCAGCTATACGATGCGATCGCTGTGGTGGACGTTCCTAGGGGACCATAATCAGGGGTGACGGGAAGCAGTCCGTGCTCTGTCGGGGTACATCTCTGCGCGGTGCGTCGAGGTGGACGTGGCCTGTGCCCTATGGAGACGAAAGCCCCGCATGTGGTTCTTTTAGTTTTGACAGTTTATCCCTCCGTAGCGTTGCCACCGGAGAAAAGTCGCAAAAGTGACGGCGTTTCAGTGTTTGAATTTGCTGCAGTGGGCAGGTAGCTTCTGATCGTTTTAGAAAAAAGGAAGTTGGTAAGCTTTTTGGCGAACTCAGTCGTCGCATGTCTCACAACGCAGGCAAAAAAGCAACCCAGGCCATGACTCTTGGTCATTTCCCCACAGACACAGCGCGCACAATTGTTTGTCAGGCAGGGTGTGTCGCTAGCGTTTCTTTGCATGGCTATGACATCCGATGTGTCCGTATATATATATATATATATATATATATATATATATATATATATATATATATATATATATTGCGGTCATAAGGGCATCAATTTTTAGTTTGACGAAGCCCTTTTGTGGCGTGTGAGCTGTTGCCATTTTCCGGCAGTTGTTGTGCCAGTATTTCCTGACAGCCAGTTGTACCCGGTTAAAACGGAGTGGCAGGAACTGTTGGAGCCATGCGCTTGCCAGCGTCTGTCTTCATCCATCCAGCTTGATTTATTTAGTCGCTTGTTGCACATCGTGGCGGATTCCAGCGATGCCGACTGTTACCCCCTGGTGTCATACAGACTACCAAGGCATTTTCATGAGGAGAAAGTGCTTTGTCACTCACGAGAAAAAGGCACAACTTAACGACATTGTTAAATGCAGACAATGATCATACACATTTCACAAAATGGGAGTGTGTAGTTATAACGCATACAGTGATCTAACAGCCCAGTGCCTTCAAACCAAAGCTGCTGAAGTTCTTGAATTCACGGGAACTACCGTTGTGCCGCGCGCCACCTCGCCCATGCCGCGCCTGTTCCTGATTCCAACTGAGTGACCGGAGATGTCCCAGTCGGTCGCCTCCAACCGCGGTCGATGCTCCGCTCCAGTTCGATGAACGCGTCATTTCCTCGCGTGTCCCGAAACAGGTGTCCGCCTTCTGCTATTGCTGGGTATCGTACATCAGAAGGCGGCCCGCCAGCGCGGCAGGGCCGCATGGCAGCAGCTGGTCTGTTGCATCCGATAGGGCGGCCCAGCCTGATCCAGCTGGCAGCAGTGACGGCTGGTAATGGCTTGTGGGCCGTTTGCGTCAGTGGTGCGGCCTATCGTTTGCTGAGGATGGCTTTGCGATTCGGTCCTTGAAACCCCATATCATGCAAGCCAGGTGTTTGCTTTGTAATAGATGGGATACACTTCTTCGCATGGTTTTCAGCAGCACATTCAACAGCGTTCTCCAACTTCATTGGCAGGCGGTCTTCATTGTAGATAACTAATTTCATGACTGTCGGCACTTCCCACCGTTCGCGGCGTGGACGACAGCAGATCGCGTTTGTTGGGCCACACCCAGCCCCTGAGCGGCCGGTGTAGTGGCTCCCGGGCCGCACGTCACTTGCGACCGGCGGTCCGTGGCCGGCGCAGCGGAAGCTGTTATCACTCCCGTGTTGGTGCATGCGGCTGGTCGTCAGTGTCTATCCTTGGCGTGCTGTTACTCGTCCCATGTGGCCGTCCTTGTCCGGCTCGTGTCGCCGACACGAGTTGGTCTGTGGCCGGCGCCGTCTGGCCGTTATAGTGAGTGCCCTGTGGGCGCGCCTGTAGCCGACCCTGTGTGACAGGCATGGTGTTGGCACCAGTTCGGCAGTGGCCGATGACCGACCCTCTGTGCCCGCAGTCTTCCTCGTCGTCGCCGAGCCGGTCGGAGGTCGTGGACGGGTCGGCTCCGGCCCTGCTGCCGACGCCCGCAAAGGAGCCGCCGCCTTACGACGCTCGCAGCGACCTGCTCAAGGCCATCCGCGACGGTCAGTGGGTCCCTCTCGCTCTCGCTGTCGCCCTCTCCCTTGCTTTCGCTTTCGCTCTTGCTCTCACTCTCACTCTCGCTCTCACTCTCGCCCTCGCCCCCGCGCTCTCCCTCTCTCCCTCTCTCCCTCTCTCCCTCTCCCCTCTCTCCCTCTCTCCCCTCTCCCTCTCTCCCTCTCTCCCTCTCTCCCTCTCTCCCTCTCTCCCCTCCCTCTCTCCCTCTCTCCCTCTCTCCCTCTCTCCACTCCACTCCACTCCACTCCACTCCACTCCACTCCACTTCCCTCCACTCCCTCCACTCCACTCCACTCCACTCCACTCCACTCCACTCCCTCCACTCCACTCCACTCCACTCCACTCCACTCCACTCCTCTCCTCTCCTCTCCTCTCCTCTCCTCTCCTCTCTCTCCTCTCCTCTCCTCTCCTCTCTCTCTCTCCTCTCTCTCCTCTCTCTCTCCCTCTCTCCTCTCTCTCTCTCTCTCTCTCTCTCTCTCTCTCTCTCCTCTCTCTCTCTCTCTCTCTCTCTCTCTCTCTCTCTCTCTTCTCTCTCTCTCTCTCCCCCTCCGGAGGGGTTTCGCGGGAGAGAGAGAGAGAGAGAGAGGGACAATTACCGGACCAAGCCTTCCCTTCCCTCCTTTCCTCCCTCCCTTCCTCTCACTATCTCTCTCGTGTTACTCTCACTCCCCACTCCCTTCCTCTCTCCTCTTTCTCCGCCCTTACCGCCGTCTTGTCTTCGTGCCTCGCAGCGCATCCCGTGTTGTCATGCTCTTATTGGCTCTATGCATTTTTCATAACCCTGTTGTTGACAAGAACAGCAATATTGCGGGTCGAGAGCAGTTTCCAATGTAAATTATTCTGCACAAGAAATGAGAAACGGGCTTCCGAAATGAGGTTCCAAAGAATGCTGCGTTGCGCGCGAGCTAGAGTATGCGTCTGCCAATCCAACGCTTCTATTCCGCGAATCAAGTTCCAAGGGACCAAGTGCGTCTGGACAGCTACTTGATATACCGCTGCGTTTCCACAAGTATATTAAGTGTGACAAATGCCCGGCCGGCATGGCCCAACGTCTGCGGCGTTTGTTACATATTTATATTCATTGCATGAAGCCTTCCCGTGAATTGCCTCATGGAGCTGTGTGGCGCGGTGCAGGTCGCCCAGTCAGTTTTGACTCTGGTGTGTGAAAAGAGTGCCTTCCGGGCTGCGCAGCAGCCTTTTGCTGGCGAAGACGTCAATGCTTATTGGACCAACTTACGTCAACACGTGATACCAAATAACGTAGCAAATGACAACAGGGCCCCACGGGCCACATTCCACCAACCGTGCAGGGCGACGACCCGCGCTGACCGCCCTGCCGGCCGCCGCAGGTATCAAGCTGCGCAAGGTGGAGGTGGTGGAGGAGAAGCGACGCGAGGAGGCCAAGCCGCTGCACGACGTGGCCTCCATTCTGGCGCGCCGCGTCGCCATCGAGGTGTCGGACTCGAACTCGGGCTCCGACTCGGACAGCGAGGCGTGGGATGACGAGACCAGCGCCTAGGCGGCCCGGCGCCGCGCGCAGCCGCCGCCCGCGCCCGCTCGGCTCTTGCCCACCCGAGCTCTTCAGAATGGTAGACCTGGGTCTGTGCAGAGTTAGATTTCCGTGGTACGGAAGTTTCCCTGGTGACGTCATTTAACCAACCCTGGTGGACGAGACGCCCAAAAGCCCCACCATATTCATCCCATAATCATGTGCGATGATATGTTTTTCGAAGAGGGTGGGTGTAGCCTTGACGATGTCTGTCGTAGTGTCGTGTCAATTCAACCCTTTGTCCCTGTTCAGATTTTTAGGGTCTCATTTGTCTTGTTCCATACACAAAGTGAGTTTTGTGATTGCCAAACCCGTGGAACAGTTTTTAACGTCATGTCCTATTCAGGCCTTTTTAGGCGTGCTTTGGCGGCATTCCAATGTGTATTGCAGCCCACTGATGCTTGATGTGGAAACAACCAACAAAGAGGAGATTTGACAGACACACTGCTTGGTTGCCAGGGGCCGAGAGGCTCCCATCGTTCGGGTGGCGTTTGGTCGCCGTTCTGGGAGGCTGACGGGCTGAATGCCGCGGAATATCCGATGCTTTCTCGCATGCCCCTGCGCTGTTTTCCGCCGCGCGGACGTTTTTGGACCCACCGTTTGGACGTGCGCACGGTGGGGCTACCGTCGGCCGTGTCCGTGCGGGACGGCGGCCGCGCCGCCGCCAGCTCGCTAGGGCCGTGCGAGCCGCATTGGGCTACGCACAAAGCCAACGTGTTCGCCGCGTCGTCGGGCGAATGAGATGTGACCGGTCGAATCTAACCGTACTGGCTCTTGTGTATATCGCCCGGCCGGACCGTACCGGGTGTGAGAGCGTGCGTCCGCGCGCGCCGCTGTTTATGCGCTCCGTGGTCAGACTGTGGGCGCGTGTGGAGGTCGTCGTTGACCGGGGAGAGGTCAGCGGCGTTCCGTGCCGCCCCTCCCCGCCGCTTGGCCTCCCGCCACCCACCGTCGCATCCGTGCGGGCGTTTTGCCTGGCCGCGTTTATATCGTTCCGCGCCCGATCTGCTCGTTGTTACGTATTTGTTTTTACCGGCGATGGCGCTCGTCGCCCGTGCTGCTTTGGGTGTGACCGGCCGGCCGGGCTCGGCCGCTCTTCGGACAATAATGGTTGTGCTAGTCACCCGTGGCGGAGGAGAGCCGGGCGGCGGCGCGCGGCCCGCCGCTCCGGCCGCGGCTTGATTTGACGGCTCTGTCCGGACCGCCGAGCTGTACGGCCGTGGCCGCTGCCGCCAGCCGGGGTGCGGCGTGGCGCCGCCGCCGCTGCGCTCCCTGCGACGCCTGCTTGTACTCGCGCCAAACCTAGCGCACTGTGTTATATGCTTCCTTCAATAAACAGTTATTTTTATTCCCTGCACACGCTGTCTTTGGTCAGCTGTGGTGGAATTAGTCGCTTTTTTCGTGGATGCTTAACGGGCTGGCTCGTGCCGCAAAGCGAAGAAAAACTGGACCGGTCGTTTTCCCATGGCGGGGGTGGTGGCGCTGGTGCGTTCCCCACTCTGAGATATGCTTCATTACTGGTTCCATCAGCTGGCTGCAATGTGGTGATGCGCGCTTTGATTTCCATCGTGTCCATGCACTTGACATCAAGTTTTACAGTACCCGTAAATGCGCTGCCCGCGGTACAACACCGATGGTATGTCGCATACGGGCGCAATGTTCGTGGGGCTATGGTTAACCATGGGCTAACCCGTCGTGGGCTAACCTATGGATGAGAAAAAAAATACCGTGGGGTTGGGAACAAACGGCTTTTGACGCTAACTTTCCATGCTGGGATTGCCCCGCATCTCTGGTTCTGTGGCCCTGGGTTTCTTTTCGCGAGCATTACTGTGCGCGGGTTTCTGGCCCACTTTTGATTGCAAACAAAATTAATAAAACTGGCTCATTTAAATAAAATGTCCCTCCAATGTTAAAATGTGCGTGGAAACTCCACGCGAGGATGGACAAGAACGTCGCGAGCGTGGCACGCTGGCATTTTTGGGAGTGGTTTTTCAGAAGGCTTGGAGAGGCCTCGTCTTGGGATGTGCAATTATTATTACACAACCTACGAAGGTATCGCCAATATAAGCTCTGGTGGAATGCGGATGTAAGGACACTATATTGAAGGGCAATGTATCGAAGTCGATTTTTGTCACTATCATATTACCATTTCGTTAATGTCGAAGTCGCGTTTGAATGCGCATTGTGGACGATAGTTACTGTATTTTTCATTGGATCCTGTAAGACTGACGCGTGCACATTAATTATGCCAGTGCAGAGGTGAGTGCAAAATAATGCGGCCTTGCAGTAAAACAACAGCGAGAAGTTACGAGACAAGTGCCGCACGGTGGAGTCAAAAACAACTTTTTTGGAAAGTGCACGCACCACTGCTGGAAAAGTGGCCTTATATATTAGGGAGACCATGTGCAAAATTAAACTAAAATTTGCACCTGATGCTGCTGGGTACCTCCATCTGGAAAGAAGCCTAAAGACTGCCGATGTTCTCCGGCGTTACATTCTCTACGGCGCAGCGGGACTTGTGGTTGTGAGCGGCAGGCCACCAACACCACGTGGCGCCCCATCAGATCGGGCGCAATATCTTACATCAGAGATCTAGCGGGCGTTGTGCGGCGGAAAGTGGGTTTTGCAAGAGGTGCCTACGTTATAAACAGGCTATCGTCCAGGTAACAAGTGTCAGTGAAAGATGAACGGTGGCTTTCTTGCAAATGTTGAACGAGAAGGAGACGGAGAAATCCGGGACATCCGCCCATTACCTACGCGAATAGTGCAGCGAAAAGAGACTGAGGCAGGCTGATAAATTAATAACGAAATATATGAACACAGACGCGGGAACTGGGGGGGGGGAGGGGGGTCAGTGGGGCAGCTCGCCCTCACACACCCAACTTGAAAGCTTGGGGGGGGGGCGCACGCCCACCTTGAAAGCTTGGGGGGGGGGGGCGCACGCCCACCTTGAAAGCTTGGGGGGGGGGGGCGCACGCCCACCTTGAAAGCTTGGGGGGAGGGCCTGTGGATCACCCGTTCTGCCGTTCTGGTATGTTAAAACGCCCATTCTAAACTGCAAGGAATTGGGTAAGCCTGTAAAACTATATTCTGACCTGTTGGGGGATCATTCTCGCCCAGTAAGACTTCATTCCGAACAAAAGAGGGCAATTGTGAGCCTCTAAAAAAGAGGGCAATTCTGTAGGCCCGTTGTCACCCGCAGAAGGCATATCATGGCCTGTTGAGGACCCATGCCAGCCTTAAGAGACCTATTTTGATCTGCAAATGGCTTATTCTTGACTGTGGAGGGTCCATTCTGACCGGTAAAGGGCCATTGGTGTCTGTGAAGGGTCTATTATGACCTGTAGACAATCCAATATTGACTATAGGCTACTTTTGAATTGTACAGGGTCCATTTTGATATGCAGAGAGCATAATATCGACCATAAAAGATCCATTCTGGCCCGTAGAGGGCTCGTTCAGGCCTGCCGAGCCTGCATTCTGGCCAGTAAAGAGCCCATTCTAGCCTGACGAGGGCCATTCTGACTCGTGCAGGTCCCATTCTGACCTGTAGTGCCGAGTAGGCCCATGTAACATGTAGAGAGCCCGTTATTTACTGTGGATGACCAATTTTGTCCTGCAGAGGGCCCATTCTGATCCGTATTAGGGCCATTCTAACCCAAAGGGGCTCATTACTGACTGTGGAGGGATCATTCTGGCTTGTAGAAGGGCACCATTAACTCTTGTATATCTTTATTCGTGACTGTAGAAGGGCCATTCTGGCCTGTAAAGGACCTATTCTGACCTTACGTGGGTTGATTATTGACTGCGAACGGCCCATTCTGAACTGTAGAAGGAGAATCCTAACATGTATAGAGCCAATTCTGACCTGTATAGGACTCATTCTGGCTTGTGGGCGGCAACTACTACGACTATCTAACCTTAGGGACACATTTTGGCATTTTGGAGTCCCCTCTCTACTTGAATGTGCTTCCCGCGCCCTTGACATGACTAAATTATCAAAATGAACGACGGAAGATGTTGATAAGTGGATACGCCCGGGTACAATTTTCACGGTAGCCACAGCACCGGATATTCATACAGGCACAGATGAGTGTTCAGAATACCTACCAAGAACCACATAACGCTGCTAAAAATCCGCACCAGTGGCAGCCGCAGGTGACATCTCAACTATCCACCACCTCGTCCTACCTACAGCATGCACTCGGTGCAGGTAGGGAAGAGACGGAGGCAGCCACGACGGTCGCTCGACATGCTGAAATGACAAAATTTGCCTTGACATTGAATTTCTTCTCAGCTTCTGTCCCTTTTCTCCCCGCCCTTAGCGGAATGAGGGCATGCCGCTTCCCGTGGTGACATCCCGATCGTGACACTTCCGTCACGAACTTGACGCATCTTACTCGACTCTACAAACGTCACGGAGAGCTGGGTGGGCCTGTCGGCGGCCGGTCCCCCACGCACTCGAATTTCCGAGTCGTGATGTCGCGTGTCACGACAGCTGATCAGCGACAGTTTTTGGACGGACGGTTCGCGTATGTCCGTTTCGTTACAGACGGGTCTATAAACTACTCGCAGCGACTCACCCTAGCTGGTGTCGTACACACGCTCGGTCAAGCCTAGCCCTCCCCTGGTCAGTGGCCACGTCCGTGCAGCAGGTTAAGTTTCAGATCAAGTCAAATCTCGTTATGTTCTCGCGTTGCCAGCGCACCGCACCTCCCGTCACCGAAATACCACGTTGCACTATTGGCCATATCAATACATTTCCTATTGGTTTCTCCGATGACTTTTTCCAATATGGCTTCGAACCTTCACCCTTTTTGTCCTCTCCAGCTCCTTATCCTTCGACTTTTTCTGATATGATTTTCATATGTCAACTTTTGTTGTTCGATGTTTTTTTTTCGTTTGGCTTTTCCATTCGACTTTTCCCCGGACGTGATATAATAGACAGACAAAAAAGAATGTATACTTTGTGTTCAAAAATGAATGATCCATTTGGCCGGTCCAAAACCGATAAAATCCGGCATGTGAGTGGATTTGTTGATTGTTCGGTATCCATGGCAACCAAACGTTTGAGTGTTGCCGCCCAGCTGTGTCGTGGCAACCGGGCAGCAGTGACGTCTGGCCGCGTCGGCCGCATCGGCTTGCACTGCACCGCGCTGGGTCGTGTCCCGTTAAGTGAAGTTGCAACGCGTCCCATGAAAAATCCATGGTATGCGTGATGGCACTTGTGATATCATGACGGTAGACGCATTACATGCCGGTGGGTCTCAAGCAGCGCCTAGCTTCTTCTCGCTCTTGCTGCGCGGAAGTTGCTGCGACAGAGAATACTGGTTCAGGATATGTTGCGACA